TGCCTTCTGGTAATTGTAGGATTTAATCTTTAATTTATGGGACTTGAAAACTAAGCTATTCATCATGTTCTAAATATTGGGGGAGCTAAACTTCCTTTTGTGTCCTAGGCCCATCAAAATCAAGTCTCTGCCTTGGCTTAGCACTTTGAACCCTTCCTTCTTGAACTTTCATGTTAGGCCTCTTGGAACCAGCAAATGCTTGGCGGGAAGGACAGGTCAGATGATGGGATTTCTTCTCTTTGGTCCTGTTTGTTGTGTTTGTCTGTTTAGTTTCTGAGAATTTTTTAAAGCTCCAAATCATGTGGGAGTCCAATCACTGAGATTGGGAGACGGCTCAGTGGGTAAGTGTGCTCCTAGCACACGTGCGCACACACACACAAGGCCCAAAAGAGTTGCATGTTGTAACCCAACTCTTGGAGAGAAGACAGGGAAGGAGGGGAGTCTGCTGAACCTCGTTGGCTACCAGTCTAACTGAAAATCAAGCTCCAAGGTTCTGTATGAGGCCCTGCATCAAGGGAGCAATATCAGTAAGCAGTAGAAGATGCTGTGGCTTCTCCTGGCCTTCCGTGCACACATGGACACCTGCACCTGCATAGACTCATGTCCATGCACTCATAATGTGTGTTCATGCACACATACATGCATACACACACACACATACATACACTCACACACACACACAATTTATGGAGAAAATAGCAGATAATGTTGAGATGTCCTCAATGTCGTAAATTAAATATCTGTGTCTCCTCAAAGTTCCTGTGTTGAACTCCTCACATTAAGGTGAAGGTCTTATAGTGTGAGCGTTTTTGGGGGCTGGCTGAATCCTGAATACAGAACTCTTGTGGGGTGTTCTCTTTGAATAAGCTGGGAATCTTGGTTTTAGACTTTCTGGCCTCTAGAACTATGCACTAGTTGCCTGTTATTTGTAAGCAAGTGGGTTATTGGCAATCAGTTCTGATCACAGAGCATCTGTTTTTCTTCTGTAAGGTCTTCCAAGAACACTTTCCAAACAATAGGTGTTACTGTTACCTCTGTGATATTGCTTAAATACACATTAGTTCTTGTTTGCATGCTAGGAAGCAAACCAGCAGCCCCTGTGGCTATGTGTGTGCCGCCACGGGGTCGTCATGATGTGGGTAACATTTTATTGTTAATCGTTTCATTGCCTTCCCTCACCACTTTCTTTCATCAAAATCTTCCTCATTTTATTTTTCCCATGTCCTATTACTCCTAGGCCAAAGCTAGATTAAAGACTCTACAATTCCCAGATGCAGAAAATCTTTCTCCCTTTCGTAAAAAAAATTTAAAGCCAGGAGCCTAGGTTGTAGTTCATTTGATAGAATACTCTGCAGCAAGCACAAGGACCTGGGTTCGATCCCAGCACCACTAACCAATCAATCAATAAGAATAAATAAATAATAAAAGCTGAGGCCTGGAGAAATGGCTCAGTGGCTGACAGCACTTCCTTCCTGCTCTTGCTGAGAGCACTTCCTGCTCTTGCAGAGGACCTGAGTTCAGTTCCAACCACCCATGTTGTACAATTGGCTGCAACTCCAGATCCAGGAGAATTCAAACACAATGCCTCTGGCCTCTGCAGGCACCTGCACTCACATGCACACACTCACACAAAGACACACAACATACACATAATTGTAAAAATAAAACAACCCTAACGTATAAAACAAAATGAAATAATTTAATCGTTCTTAGAAAGTATTTACCAAATAGATTTCTAAAAATGTACGAACTCTATCAATCTTGGTCCTCCTGTGCACTGGGCAGACACATGACTCACTCTATGCTCTACTTCCTTAGTTGTGAAAGATGGAAGGAACCCTATTTGCCTCATAGGGTTACAGAGGAAGTGATTTATTATATATAGAATCTGCAGCAATATTCCACACATACTGAGCACCCAATGCCAGCTAAGAAGTCAATTACTCTCTGACAGCAACGCCAGAGCTGGTAAAGAATGTCAGCATATGACTTACTCATGACTTAGCTAGGGTAAGATTGATGTACTTGGAACCATCCACTGTTACATAATTTTGTGAGAACTCACCACTTCTGTTTTTCCCTTCTGCCTCGTTGGGGGTTGTAGAGGGCTCGAGGAAAGCCTCCCTCTTTCCTGTGGTAGTAGAGAGTGAAAAGCATCCTGCCTTCCTGTTGTTCTACATCCTTCCCCTAATCCATGAGTCACCCGTGAGCCCTTGCTGTGTCTGGGCTCTGTCCTAACCACTGGCATCAAGAAAATGAAATTCCTGCCCTGAAGGTCTTCAGACACGGAAGATAACCAAGAGCTGGTGGACACACAGTGAGCCCCTGCCCTGTGGCAGGTGTCCACATTGTATCATCTATTTCCCTAGTAATACAATAACCTTATCATGTGGGCACTGTGGCTTAGGGCACTTTAATGACTTTCCCAAGGTCCAATCATAAGAGATAAGATTTGAAGCAGAGGGTTCCAAGAATAGATACAGAGCCTCCCACTGATGTTGAGACAATAGAGAGCCTGACATCACTGCCTAGCAGTATGGGGGGGGGGCGGTTAGGGCTGATTAGAATTATCTCGAAGCTCAAAGCACGTGCTAGGTGAAGCATGCTAAGCTCATTCAGTGGCATTTACCGTGGATTTCTGGCAAAACAATCCGACTAATAACAGATGGGCCTACCTTAGTTTTTGCCAAGTAAAATTACCAGGGAGACCTGTGTTTGAGTGTATATTTTAAAACCAGGTGAATCATTTTCACCTCAAAAGTGACCTGACATTCAGAAAAAGATGACACATATTCAGTGTAATGCAGGCACTTGTATGCTGCCTGTTACTTTAAACTAATTAGTCTGAGCTCCAAGGAGATCACGCTATGGTTTTAATCCTGCAGAAGATTGATTCCTTCCTTGTGTATTAGCAAGAAACACCTCAGTCCTATGTGGTTTACAGAGGAGAATGAGTGGCCAAGGGTTGAGTGCATGCTACAGGAAACAGGTCTTCATACAACCTTCCTCTAGTGGTGAATAACCGGTTAGCTTAACCTCCAGCAATTTAAGCCTAAGTCTGAATACTGTGACGCACACATGTAAAAATGATAAGAGACTCAGAGTGAACAAGCACTAAGTTTTGCCAGTTTTTAAACGAATCTGTTGAAAGTATTGAAATGTAGAGGTTTCTGAGAATTTCTTGCTTCAGAGGACATCACCTACTGGTAGAGGGTGACATTGCAGTTTTATTTTCTGGATGTTAAACTGTATAAAAAAAAGAGAAATGATTGACTAACCAGCATAGCTTCAGAGCCTGGGCTAAGACAAGTCGGGCAGCCGGTAGGGAGAACTTGATCCCTGAACACTACACCTTCTTCTCTCCCAACCCATAGCTAGGACCCACACTTTAAACAGAAAATTAGAACTATATATAGAACGTGAATCTGGAAAATAGAACTGCTGCTTGAGTCTGCCCCTCAGAAGGCATTCAAACCAATTTTCATAGACACTGTGTTCACCTGCTGTTGTTCTAACAAGTAGGCTCATTCCCAACTGTCATCAGTCTGAAATGAAAGGAGTTGACTTTATACTGTGCCTTTACGTTTGTCAGGGCGTAGCCAATAGCATCAGAAAAATAACTTCTGATAAAAACCCATCTTCTCACCTCATTGGGGCCACCATGGAAGTCAAGTATGATGAAGAAAAAGACAGTATGGGGGAATAGGAGGCTTCTGTGGCCAAGCAGATTGGTCTTTGGTCCTGTGGAAGATCAGTTTCCACTCTTTTGTTCTGTGACACAAGTGTAATTTCATCAATTGGCCTCAGAGCTACTCATATCTCATAGAGTATGTGTGTCTGTTGCACATGTGTGTACAAGTGTGTACATGTGTGCATTTATGTGTGTCTGTGCCTGTGCGTGTGTGTGTGTGTATGTGTGTGGACCTAATGACCCAGGCACATAAGGATCCTTTTAGAACAACCTCTTTCTTCTCCCCACCTTTTAGCTCCCTTGTTTTTTTCAATGAGTCCACAGTTTTTAAATGGCTTTTCCATAATACCTTCCCATGGGTTTCATTTAATTTTGCTTAATTGGCTTCCTGTTAATTAAGAATGAGAACGAACTGGGTCATAAGCACTCACACAGAGCTAAAGACCAGCTAAAGTGGCCCTGAAGGAAATGAAGCTGTAATCTGGGAACAGGTGGGCTGCACCGTTTACTCCTCCGTGGTGAGCAGATTCCACTGAACTCCATGTCTGTGGGATGCCGAACCATTCACTCAACACGAAACCCCTTCAGTCCGTTATGGACCAGAGAACTATGGGACCTGCTATGGGTCTGGCCCCTTTTCTCATAATCTCTAGGTCCTTTTAAAGTTTGCCTTTGTGGAAGTGGTCTGGCCATCATTTTTGCAAAGAATTTTAGGTGGTATGCGCCGTGGATTTATCTTCCCTGCTGCCTACACCATGCCTCCTCTCAGGATCCGTCAGCAGCCCCGTCTTTCACCAACAAGCTCTCGGTACACCGATGAGGATTCCGTTTCAAGAATATGCAGTTCTTCTATCAACAACCCCCTCGAAAGCTGTTTTCCTTAGTTTTTTTTTTTTAGAGGGGAATTTAATTCGCTAAGAAAACTACCTCATGAATGTCTGTAGTTTCTTTCCTTGACCGGAGGAGGAGGGGCTTTGTGCTGTGGTAGTAAGACCAGGGGTCACAGCATGCATTTGCTGGCAACCAGAGAAAGGACAAGCAGGCTTTAATGATGAAAGTTGCAGGCACTCGTGAGTCACAACTTTGAGGGTTGAGATTGTCTGCCAGGCACTGTTCACAATGGTTTTACACTCCGTGTGTATAAACACATGCACACACGGAGATGCACACACACGAGCACACACATCAGTGACAGATGACCTATTGAAATAATTTCAGAGCCAGTCTGTGGTTGCTACGACAACCAGTGCTCTCTTGGCTTTTATCTGGCCATGTGACAGGGACTTTGACGTCAGCCAGAGGCAGAGTCTGTGGCTGAGTCCGCACAGTCAAAGGCTTGTGAGAATCTGGTGGATGCTGGACCTTGCTGCTGCTGCTGCTGCCACCGCCGCCGCCGCCGCCGCCGCCGCTGCCACCGCTGTTGCTGTCTCTACCGCTGTGGCTGTTGCTTCCCAGGGGCTGCAGGAGCATGGACTACTAAACCCCACACTTCTTCAGCGTGAGGTAATCGGTTTGCTTTATACACAGGAGTTACGTGGTTTCACAGCCCCTGATGGTTTCCCCTCCCCTCTTAACCTCCTACAACTTTGCCTTCAAGAGCACTTACTGACGAACGGAGCCAAAGAATGTGAAGCAGCTTCCAGTCACGAATTTCAGGCGGTCTCTGGAACTTGGTTAAATTTGGATTAATGTTCCATGAAGTAGGTTAAAATGTAATCTTTCTTGTGCAATGCCTGCTAATATACATTGTTTAGAATTCTCATTTTGCAGCGTGAGCCAAATTTGCTCCCTGGAGTTCTAGGAATTCTTCCTTTGGTGTTGTTTGGGGTCTGGTAACTCCAACGCTGCCTTGCAGGAAGCAGCTAACTTTTCCTTGTTGCTGCTGCTGATTCTGCGTCAGCTCACAGCAGTCTGGAATTCGGTGTCTACCTCATTTGCAGCATGTATAATTAGCAACAATGGGAATCGTGAGAAAAGACTCTAGACTTTGAAAGTTGTGGTTATTATTGTAAAGGGGGCTTTTAACTCTGTAAACAAGAGGGGAACTGTCAACAGCTTCCTGTTTAGAGAAAAAGAATCTGCAATATGCCAAGGAAGTTGGGGTGGATCTTTACGTGTGTGCGTGTGGTTGTTTTGTGGGTGTTACTGCAAAGTGCTATTTTGTGGCTCTCTCTGAAACCCCTAGGTGAAGAGGAGGGGCTGGCTGGCCTTTTCTCGGGAGTCCTGTAAGCTGGTTCTGATCTTTATTCTTAAAAATAATTATCTTGAGAAGAAAATAGCCTGAAACTAAATATACATTGATGTAAGGTCTACCTTAACTGAAATGTAGATTTAACATGCTTGATAAAAATTTGCTCCAGGTCTTGCTTGAGTAATTTGGTAACTGATTAGCAGGGATCTCTCCAACACACTGTGCTCCCGGTTGTTGTGTGTGCATTGTTGTGGTTCTGCCAGCTTCTTCTGCAGCTCGAAGTTTCAAGGAAACCTCAGGCTCTGAAGCAAACAGAAGCCTAGATGGATGAACAGGTTTCTAAATCTTACAGACTTAACAGGACCAAGGCATCTGGAATAGAACCAGCATTTGAAGGAGCATAGATAGACTGGATCAACTCTATACATGCGGGCTGTAGATTGGTGATATAGTTATATTTTAGTTTGGTGAAAGAATACATTGTGTTTTGCTTACGTTACTGGGTTCAGAATTGTGAGTTCTACATTTTGCTCTCATGGGTGAGCATTCTGAAAGCCCTTAGCTGCAGCAATAAATGAATAACTGCTTGTATCAATTATTTTCTAAGCAGCTTTCAGTGAATGGACCTTTTGATCAGAGCTTCCATTAGGATTGTCCACTGTCCAATGTGTTTGCATGTACCATGTATTTACTAAGACATCTTCCGGTCATTTCACTGACCTCATGGTCCTTGTAACCCAGACGCTACCACTTTAATGTGTCAACTGGTGTGTGACATTTCAATTGAGCATGGAGAGGACCAGCTAGCAGTGCCGTTTAAAAGCATCGCTGGTAACATACACTTGGTGCTTAACTTTTCTTGCCCCAACTATGCTATCTTCATTCTTTTTCGTGATTCTCTCCCTGGGTTTTAAATTCATTTTTAAGATGATTATGTGCAGCTGCCTCGTGCGTGAGACTGGATGCCAACAACAAACAAAGGTGAGAGAGAGTCGATGTTAGTGGCAAAATGTCGGTGATAAAGTTGGGGAAAGAGCCCCCCTGATGAAAAGAGGAGCTTTCAAAGCCCCAAGCTGCGGGTCCTTTTTTGGCAAAATTAGAAAAAGGGGCTCATGAGAAGCATCTACCTGCAGCATCTGTGCTGCTTTCAAGGTCAAGTGTGTTTCAGTCTCAGAAGATGCCAGTATGGAATGCTTTACTCTAGAAACCTGGCTGCTGAATTATTAAAGGCTCTGTGTCTAGTTTCAGGAAGCCTTAACCCTTTCGGTGCCACGAACATGTCTGGTAGTCTGGTGACGCCTGTGGACTCTTTTTCAGAATGACGTCAGAAATGCATAAAACAAAGTATGTTGGATTGCAAAGGAAACTACTTTTCATTAAAATGTGTCTTAAAAAAATAAGAAAAAGAGGTCATGAGTCTGAAAGAGTGGGAAGGGGAAGGGGACACACAGAAGGGGTTGGGAGAGCAAGGAGAATGGGAGAGATTAGTTATTATAGTATAATCTCAAAACATAAAAAAATAATAAAAACAAAATGTACTGCCTTTTCATTGTGAAAGGATAACTGCTTTGTTAATACGTTATTAAGTCATATACCCCACCAGCAGGTGCAGTCACTACCACAGTAATGGGGCGGCACTACACGTGAACGCTGTTTTGAAATAGAATTAGTCTAAGAACTGCAATATGAAATGCACGTATCTGCGATTTGTCTTGGCAACATCCCAGGCACTGTGGTTTGTGACCCACATTTTAATGGAAGGAAAGACTAAATTTCTGTTTGGGGTTGTGGAAATAAAGATGTCATGTTTTTAACCATCCAAGTTCTTGGGGTTCTTCTGAATTCTGTCTGCTCTGGAGGTAACTAATGTGCGAGCTTGTGGGGCTGAAGGACATAGAACCCCTGGGCTTAACTCATAACCTCGCTTCCACAGAATCTGATTCTATTCTCGGACCACGAGAATTTCACAGTATACTCTAAATACCTGGTCCTTCAGCTGCTAATCTGCATCTTGCCTTTATCCACCCCCCACCCCCCACCCCCACCCCCGCCGCCATCCTTAACTCCTCTTCTGCTACTTGAACTGAGGGACTCTTAACCTGGGGAGATATGGGTTATGAGGAGAATAGAATATTGACAGGTCACTCAAGTTCAAACTGTGCACCACAGAGGACCGTAGCTGTTTACAAAGAGACTTTTAACCACACAGGGAAGATAAGTGAGTGGTGCTTACATGAAGCATGCTGGGAAAAGAGCCGAACTGGGTGCATAACATTTTTAAGGTCAAGCAGGAGGTGTAAGTGTTATTCTGTAGTGTCATGTGTCAGAAAAGCTCATTCCCTACATTGTTTTGAATGAGAAGAAAATAATGTTGGCTTTCCTCTGTGCCACAAGGAAACTTTGCTGTCTGGGCTGCTGTCACAGCCCTGTGTTTCGAGAGACCAAGGCTGTCCTTTCAATTACATCAGCTCCTACGCTACCAAAGGAATGGAGTTAAGATGGTTTTGCACAAGCTGTTGTTTAAACAAAATTCAAATCCCTTGCATTTGAAATGGAAGCTGAGTAATTTTTCCGTGTGGTCTCAGAGGGATTACGAAAGAGGATGTTCTCAAATAGTTCTTGCTTTTTGGATTAGGAAAAACACCTGCTTGGAGCCTGAGTCTCTGTGGCAACCTGCAGAGAAACTTGGAGAAAGTCTGACATCTCCAGCTGTCCTTTGCTTCTAGATGGAGGTGTTGGAAACCTCAGCGCAGAAAGGAATGTGTCGTGATTTTTTACGTAGTCGACTTTTCTTTAAGTGTTATCTTGGGATAGAAAGCAACTAGCAACAGCATTACAAAATTCAACCTTTTTTTTATTGTTTCCATTAGAGATGCCATAAAAGTTAGTGTTCATTGAGACTTTTATACAGAAATTATATAAGTATTAAGTTCACTGCTGCTACCTACATTCTCCAGACCAATACAGAGATTTTCATCTCTGCGCTTAAATTTATAGCTTTTTGTAAAATATGTCTATTGATGCCGTTAATGTCATGCTGAAATGGCTCAGGGCTTAAGAGCACTTGCTGCTCTTTCAAAGGACTTCAGTTCCCAGAAATCATGTCAAAGGGCTCACAACTGCTTGTAATTCCAGCTACAGAGGATCTGACCTCTTCTTCTGGCCTCCACAGGCACCTGCATACATGTGACATACACTCACACAGGCACACACGTGTGCGTAAATAGAAATAACAATTTTTAATTAGATTATCCTATGACAATGTAGAATGGAATAGACTCATGTCACAGTAAAGTCCTATATTTGGTTTGCAGACAAGAAACGCTAATGTGAAAGATATTCCTCTTGTCGCTTTTCTTAATCGGAGGGTTTTCACGGTCTGTGAGTTCTCCTCAGCAACTCCAGCAGAGGCAAGGCCTGTACATCCTCCTTAAGCAGCTGTGCTGATTACTGTTGCTGTGACAAAAAAAAAATCCAACAAAGGCAAGTTAACAAGGGAAGGATTTGGCCAGGTATGGTGGCACACGCCTTTAATCTCAGCACTCCGGAGGCAGAGGCAGGCAGATCTCTGTGAGTTTGAGGCCAGCCAGATCTACAAAGAGAGTCCAGGACAGCCAGGGATACACAGAGAAACCTTATCTCAAAATAAATAAATAAACAAACATAAACTAACAAATAAACAAAACGAAAACTAAGGAAAGTTTTGTTCTGGCTCACAGTTAAAGGAATATGGTCCATCATGGCAAGAATCTGACATGGTCCATTGTTGACAATAGTATTTAAAACAGCGGCCTCTGATCTGGCTTATTCTTAAGCAGCTGCCATGTTCCCGACTAGACAAGGCCTGAGGCCAAGAGCAGAGGCGTGCTCTCGTGCTGCTCAGTTCAGACCAGCCAGAAGCACTGGCCCTGGCACCCACCAGACGCCAGTGTGGGAGATGGCTCTGCCAATCTACCCCCACTGAACCCCAGACAATACCCGCCATCCACACAGTACCCTGTAGAAATGAAACTCTAAAGCTTAATCATTATCCAAAGGCTTTATACATTTGGAAATGTTCAATTAACAAGATGCCCACACAATTAGCGTTGTTATCCAATACCTAACCTTAGATAGAATTTGTTCCCAGGACTGTTCTTGATGCATCCGTAGCTCTCCATGTCTGCTACCTCTCTCCTCTCCCCCAGCTCCTCTTCCTTCTCCTCTTCCTCCTCCCACATTAGCTCCTCCCCAATTGGTCCACTACAAACAGTACCAGCAGCAGGACACCATCCTGCTACCGTCCGTCATGGCAAGGATCTGGTTCACAGTT